AATTATACATGTAGTGAAGTTGTATTATTTGTCTGGCAGGTGAATCCAATTAGGCCAATTGAAATATTCTCTCATCTTTTAATTCAGTAATCGTCACTTTGTGACATCAAAAAACATTTACAGTCACATTATGAATCAGTTGTACTAAAAAAGACATGATACTCCAAGAGAATCAAAGAATCTACATTTTGCAGTTAGATTATTCCATGACATGAAAGAGACTGACATATTTCATGTCGGCCGTGTCACATAACCTGGTGTAGAACAGTTCCACATGTCCTCAACAGGCCGGGACAAGTGCAATACCACATGTGTACAGAGCATTGCTACCTCTCCCAACCTGCTCAGAAAGGGATCACTTCTGATGGAATCATTTCAGTTCTATGATCAGTTTTGCATGGATTTGCACAGCACTACAGAGAAAAGCTGAAAGCAAACCAGCAAAACTAACCAGAGACCCATGTGCATAAGCTACCTCTGCCGTGGCCCCCGAGAAGCAACACGCATCTAGAAGTATTTCAAGTGCTCACACTGCAGTAGAATTTTAAAGAACTACCTGCACTATAAGCACTTTAATACTACTGACACACGTGTATCTGAGCTGTAGTGGAAACCTGATTTTCGCTCTTCCTCCGAGGTTTTCAAACAGAAAAAGACGATTCAGATGGAAACGCAGGCCACCGTTAGCTTTGCATAGATTTGCACAACGCATTTCTTCTTGGAGCGCAACTATGCAAAACTAACGGAGAACTGCCTCAATTAGAAGGCGTTATTGGCACAGACACAAATAGACACAGGGGAGATGAGCGACCCAGCTCCTTATGCCAGAAGGGGCACTTAGGGCAGTAGGTGCTAGTCTACTTCACTATCTGCACTAGATGCACCTTAGCATAAGCACTAGTAGAAGGCACCAAAGGGCCAGTTAAGTTATGCCAGATACCCATTTTATAATGATTGGTCAGTTCATTTAACTTACCAAACACGGTTCAACAGTACATTTGTCGGTTTCTCCCAGTAATCACTTTATATATATATATATATATATATAAATAAACAAAAAACCTGCTGAACATTGAAAAGGGTGCCTCACATATATCAAGGGTGTTTGAATAGGAGGGACCTCGCGTCACATCGTTCCCGGCGCTCAGGAACATCACAGCAGGGTGGTGAGCGGAAACCGTCCAGGAAATAGCCCGCTTCTTTGATTGCCATTATCAGAATAGTGCTGAAAGTGCCTTCACTGCAGTAGATTTGATAAAACTACCTGCACTGTAAGCACTTTGACACTGCAAATGACTTTCACAGGGAGCTTTTTAAGTGACATGATGCCGTTCAATCCAGCGAGGGGCTTTCCAGGGGAGATGGAGGTCCACTGGAGGGATCTGCAAGCACAAATGAGACAATAAAACAGTGTTAGCAACTTTAATTGGGGGCTGAAATCAATGATGTCATTTTCACCCAAAATGAATTGTTACTGTAGTGTCTGGTAAATGTCAAATAGATTTAGTTTGACAAAGAATGTCACCATGTTTTTGTGTGAAAAACACTTGATTAAAAATGTATTTCCAGTTTCAATAACTTGTTACTCAAACCAGTCGGCCCATTTTTTAGCACTAATTCCAATAGCCAGCAGCAATTGTGCAATGAGTGTATTGTATAACTGATCAGCTCAGCCAACTGTCACGCAGAAGAATGACCCTTGTTAGAACTTGTTTTGCAACCTCCGCCAAGTAGGTCATGTTTACAGTCGTGCGTGTCTCTGGTGAAGTGCCAGATCTCCCACACACTGGGTACAAAAGTAACACCGTACAAAAACGGAGCACCTTTTGGTGCAGATCGTGGCCCAATGGGTTCCTTTTCACATTTGGCGCACTGACCCTTGCACAAACGCCCCGACATCCCTCGGACGGAAGCGTGTCCTCCAACCCGCCTAATTTCCCACCACTGCGCAATCTCATGCGCAAGTGTTCCGAAAACAACCAGGGGAAACTTTTTTTTTTGGAAGTTGAACTCGAGCGTGTTCACGGGTGAGGACAACCCGAGGAGAACATAAGCACGTGCAGAAACGTCTCCGCTAACAACCTACAAGCGACACATTCTCCGTCACGTTGCTGCACCCCTCCCCCACGCGCCAACATGGCGCCCAGCGTTCTGTAAACTGCTTGCGGGCTGGACGGAGAATACTATAACCGTGTTGGTGACGGGTTAACCGCCCGGCTGCGCCCACCGGCACTGGCGTAGGGTGCACGTGAATCACGCGCGCGATAAGCGTCCACACCGCATGAACCTAGAAGGCAAAACAAAAAAAAAACTAGCGCCCAACAAGCTAGCAGCACCCGGGGGCGCCCACCAAAACAGCCCCAACGCACGCGTGTGCTAGCAACACAAGCTAGCCGGGCTGCTGGTGGTATGAACCCGGTCAGCGTGTATCACCATTCATATTTACGATGCCACCGAGTTGTGTGTTTTTATCCAGCAGCATATTAGCAAATGGCTCCCAGAAGAAGCACCACATGGGCAGGATGTGGTTTCGGCGAACACCTTCCATCCACTCCACAGCGTGTTCTCGTCGCTGGCCGCCTTAGCCAGCCGAGGATAGCTTACCCCCACGCGCGCATGTTACCGGTAATTAAATATCAGTGCATGTCCCCCGGGTGCTTGTTGACACTGGCACGTCCACCCAAAAGCACGTGTAGTGACGCTACGACAGAGCTAGCACGAAGCTAACTTCGGCAGCGTCGTGGGAAGCGCGGGCGTGCGGCCTGCTTGATTCCCCATGTGCCGCTGCTTTGTTCTGAAGCACTTAAAGAAGAAAACAACAACTGCAGACCGCAATGCACGGAGAACTTAATACTCTCGCCGGCGTGTGGTCGACGCAAGGATTGGAAACACGTGTTTAACCCGCAGCGACTACGTGTAACGCATCGTGTTTTCTGGTTTCTCTCCGGGATTTGAGTCCCACTTCCCTCCCCGAGGCTCAGACTTCTGGAGGTGCAGCACCAGCAACACATGTGCCTTCCCCCCCAAAGAAATCTCCCTCATCCTCCAGGCACGGAGTGGGGGGGGGGGGGACGCCATGAGGTGCGCTCACTTGAACGCGGATTTTCAAAATGCGGAAACTGGCGATTAAAACGTGTTTTATTTCTCTCTCCGCCTTCGTCGCGTCTCCGTAAAAAGTGAGACTCCGGCGTCTCGCGCTGCGTTACACTTTGACATTTAACCGCGTCTCCAGATTAAAAACACCCACCTATGGTTTCTTGCCAATAACACGCGCGTAGGAGAAAAAAAGGACACTGACGTTAGCTTCCAAAAAAAACAACACCATCTCCACGCACTTGTACTCACTGTTTCGGGGATTTCTCTGCAAAACTGTAAAAAAAAAAAAAAAAAAAAGGAAAACACTTCGCAAAACGAGTCCCAGCTACGACGAATAATCTCCCCAACAACACACACGCGTTGACAAAAAAAGAAGCTCCCAACCATGTGCTACAATTATGACTTGCAAGGAGTTTGTGAATCGTAGTAAGATTGCGAAAGTGGCGCGAGCGGAGTCTCGGTGTGACCATGTGGTGAATGAAGGGCGGCTCCCAGCCAGCCAGCGAGGCCGAGGCCCCGACTCCTTCATTAGCATACATCAACCACTTCCTCCTCCCAACTGGCTTCTACGCGGTTGATAAAACACGCCAGAGGGAGGTCGATTTAAGAAAAACTTTTCTTCCTGTGTGTGTGTGTGGGGGGGAAACAATAAGACGTTAAATTCAGACAACACCGTGTCGAGATTTGCAGCACCGATGGGTTGTTTGTGTTGGTTTTCCCTGCGTAATGCACATGCGGTAAGAGAGAGTGTCTTTTGAAACATAAATGAACACGAAATAACAGAAGAAATGCTGTGCTCACAACAGCAAGTTACAAGGTGTTTATTGTGCAATTAGTGTGAGTCGAAAAGCAACCAAAAGTCGTTGTTCATTTAAAATGTATAGCTCAATCTTAAATGGGTGGAAATTATTATTATTAATAATTAACATATACGCATCAAACAGATGGTTTGACCAAAGATTGATTCAGTTAAAATATTACAAACGTAAAATACAATGCGATTGAACTATTATAAATGCAAAGGCAATTGTTTTACAATATTTCTTCTCCCATTCTTATTGTAATAAGATCAATTGTGTCCGCTGAGGGTGGTGGTCTGTGGAAATAAGTATAAAACTGCGCCAGTCATCCTAAACTGTTGTTTACCAATTTGTTTGTTGAATTAAACAAGTATGTTATGTATAATGCATTGAATTAAACAAGTATTACTTCTCATTAATAACTGATTAATAGAGCATTGCCAAAGTGAATAATATGTAATATGTACATAGAGTCGCTGTCTATGTAAGTCCCTAAAGTGCAAAAAACCCACATAGTACTGAATTTAAAACAGAAATGCAACATTTAGCTACATTGTTGTCTCAGAATAAATGTAGGTTGATTAATCTAAAAAATATATAGATTTAGTTTAGGTAAATCAGAAAACGGCATACTGTAATTGAAAAAAACACAAGTATCAATAACTGGTAGATGACATATATTCAACTGAAACTATTTGAAATATATTTCTTATAAATAAAATGTTCCAATGTCTTTCATTATACAGAAAATACACAAGGAACTTGGAACAAGAAGGCAAAGTTGAATAACAAAACAAAACATCTTCGGTTGATGCTCTTTTGTGCTTAAAATTATTTGAGTTACATAGAGAGTTTATAGCAATTCATGTATAATTATACACTACTAAACTGAGAGCCAATTTACTGATTTGTTATGCTATTTTATGCAATTTAAATGATCCATTATTGAATTATATTTATTAAATATATTTTTCTTAGTCAACCCCAGAAAATGTATGTATATTAAACACAATTTATTTTTGTTGTAATTATTAAAACCCATTGGCATAGCTCATAACTTTTTTTAGTCATTTTGAGTTTTGTTGCTATGATATTTGAAACTACCTGCTTGCCGTAGGTCAAACTCTGTTCAGTCCGTTCTGTCATGGCTGCTCACCCCGGAAGCCACATCAACCTGCCAAAATAATGTAACACCAACAGTCTCACACGATTCTGTTCAGTCAGATATCATGAAACTTGATAGAGGCACTAAAAATGTCCGTACTAAATTAAAATATGTACATTGCAGCCTTATATCCTAACTTATTTCAGCACTTTAATGTCATGCTGTATGGCTATTTTGCAGGAGTCGTTTTATCTTGAAGGTTGAATAACTTGACTTCCGGCAATAATTTCGGTAGGTATATTTCTTCTCTTAACTCCATGAGGTTTATCACGTCCAGGTTGTTTATTGCTGTTTCCTGTCAATGCTGGAGATTGAAATGTGAGTTATGTCAATCGATATACATTTTCTGTATATCAATATAGAGCTTGGGTATAACAGTTATTTATAAGAAGGGTTGTACATAGAAATGTATAGCAGCACGGTTGTCATCACGGAGAAGTATTCATTGACCAATACTGTATTTAACATACGTTTAACCGTTGTCATGTATGTTACAGGTATATACAAATATAATTCTGTGAAATATATCAACAAACGTTGCCTAAAACTTTTTCCTCATCTACTTTTCATTCTCTTGACCTTTGATAGCCAAGACCAATTCGATCCATAACATGATAGCACGTTTTATTTTGGCGGGGTTTTTTTGGCTTTCTTTTGAAATCATGCCTTTGTCATTTTAGCCCAGCGGATCGATGGCTGCCTCCGTGCTGTGTCGTCGCGTGCCGAGGCTACGCCACCTCCCAGCCTCCAGAAAGGACTTCACCCAGGCCCAGCTCGTACCTGTCAAACCGCACGACGAGAGGGGTGATGACAAGGGCAAGAAAGAAGTATTTCAACCCCAGGAAGTCTCTCCCCAAGGCGGATACCGGCTGTATTACAACCCCTCCTCGTATCATCCCTCCGCCAGGAACTCTGCAACCTCCCCGAGCCAAACGGATAACGGTGATGATGAACCGCGTCTCTACGCTCAGGCGCCTTCCTTCTGGCAACAGGGCAATCTCCACAGTGTGAGTTGTTCGCGGCACATCTGCAGCTCAAAAGACCGACTTCGCGCCTTGGCGTTGGACAAAGGCTCTGAGCCTGAGAGGCCGCCCGTTTCCTCGTCCCACAAAAAAGCCACGCCGCCGGATGTCAAAGTGGATCCGCGTGCCTTCCTCAAGTGTCGGCCGGTTTATGCCTCCATGACCCTTGACCTCTCCCGGCGGCCTCGGCCTCAGATCGGATGGGAAGAGGCCATGTCCCTGCTTCAAAAAGTGACCGTTTCAAAAGGCGCCATGAAGCCGCCTGACGTGTCTCGGTTTCTTGTGGAGCTCAGCCGCTCGCACCCGGACAATATGACGTTGGTGAGGAGCGACCGGCGCTTCGTTGCGCTCCTTCAAGATTCCGCGGAGCACCTTCGCCTCTTCACTCAGCTCCAGCTGCTGGAGGTGCTGCAGTCCTTCGTGTGGCTGGACATACCCTCCGCCCACACTGTGCTCGGGCAGTACGAGGCCGAGCTGAGCCGCCGGGCCGACCAGATGAGTTTACACCAGTTGCTGTTCGCTGCGGACTTGTGGCGTTGTATTGGCCGGCAGGTTCCGGAGTTCTTGCAGCACCTCTATGAATCCGTCTGCCTGAATCTTGGACAGATCGGCGTCCCTGAGCTTGTGCAACTGCTGTATATAATGGGAGAGAGTAGGCAGTGCTCAAGAAAGCTGATAGCTCCCGTGGAGAAGCTTCTCATGCGTCACGTACAGCAACTTTACCCTGAGGAAGTTGGTGCTGTGTGCCTGGGGCTATTTAAATCCCAGACCTCCATATCCGAGGGGGCAGTGACCCGCATTATTGATAAGGCGCACTCCCTCGTTGGGGAGATGAGCGACTTTGCCATGGTGAACGTGCTGAAATACCTGCGCTTCAGCTACCTGTATCACACAGCGTGGCTGGACGCCATAGGGCGGGAGGTTCCTGGACGGGCCCACGCGATGGGTGTCCAGGGGCTGATGCACGTGGCGCTGGCCTGCTCGGCGCTGCATTACCACAATGACAGCATCCTGTTGGCGATCGCTGAGAGAGTTCCCTCGCTGGTGCCGCACTGCAGGAGCAAAGACGCCTGCAAACTGCTGTGGTCCTTCGGCACGTTAGGGTTCCTCCCGGCTCGGAGCCCAAGCTTCTATCCGAGCCTCACAGACGCCCTGAGGAGGAAGAGAGCTGAGTTCCAACGATACCCAGAACATCTGCTCACTGGGCTTCTAGGCCTGGCCTTTGTTTCTCAGTTTCCAGAGGACCTAATTGAGTTTGCTTTGAGTCCCCACTTTGTCCGCCTAGCACTGAAATCCACACAGATGGAGCTGAAAAAAGACCTTTTTACTTTAGATGGAGCGGTGGCCCTGGAGTTGCCTCGGCGGAGTGGTCCGCGGCTGAGCCGTGAGCTGAGGGAGGAGGTGAAGGAAATGCTGTGGAAGTTTGCTCAATCGGACCTGTGCCTGAAACCAGAGGTCCGGGAGGCGGAGTCCGCCTTGCAGGATCTTCTGGGAGGAGAGCAGTTCGTAGTTAAGAGAATGATTCTCCCCCACACTCGCTCCATCGACCTCGAAGTACATTTCAACTCCAGCGGACAGCCGATCCCTGTGAACGCAGCATCGCACACGGCCACGTTACCTCAGGATGACCGTGCTTCCAGAAACCCTTCTCATCAGGGCTGGGAGAGAATGAATTTAGGAGTAACTATAACCGAGCAACTTCTAGCACAGCTAACCAGTACAACAAAACCCACCGATCCTTTAACCCCTACTGCTACGGTGAAGCCCCCACCCGTCCACGGGTTGAGGTCGGTTGAAGGCGGGAGACTGTTTGACACGGGGTTAGACCTGACCGCCGACATCATAAAATCTCTCGCCAAACCCTGCGGCCGAGACTCGGCCCCTCGGGACTCGAAAGGCACGGTCAAACTCGCGATCCAGGTTTCCAGCAGGAACCACTATTGCTACCGTTCACAACAGATGTTGGGCCTTCCCGCCATGAAGAGGAGGCAGTTGAAGTTGGCGGGCTACAGGGTTGTGGAGCTTAGCCATCAGGAGTGGCTGCCGCTGCTGAGGAAAAGCCGGGCTGAGAAGCTGGCACATCTGCACTGCAAAATCTACAACAGCCTGTAATGACTCTAATGAATGAATATATGTTGAGTTGAAAGAAGCATTGCTTCAGGATTATTGTTCAAAGGCAAATAAAAAAAAACCCAACACACATTCAACTCCTCCTGTCCTACGGTATCACTTCATACAATTTATATATTTCCTCTCCTGGTCCGGCAATATTTAGCTAATGGCTTCCAGGGTCTGTGGCTGAGCTAAAATCAAGTTAAGCTAGTTAATCAAACTTACCTCCACGGCATCTGACCTGATTTGTTCAGCTGATTTGATCTTAACAGATTTCTCTCTTTCTCTTCTTTTTTTGACTGCTCATGAACCATAGAATCTGTTCCAATTTGATATAGACCGGGATAAAATCCATTGCAATTTAATACCAAAGGGGAGGGTAATTTATTACCTAGTGAATGATCACAGTTAGAGTGACGCATCAGTGGATCTTGGACCTCTGACAGACTTCTGCTGGCTCAGCTAAATTGCTCCTGTTGAGGTGAATGTTTTATTGAGGTTATTTTAGTTGCATTTATTTGTCTTCCAACAATGTTTTTGGAACTGGGTGTCTTGAACAGCTCTCTATGAAGTCATATATATTTTCATGGCGGGGTTGTTTCAAAGTCAATGGTAGTTTAAGATTAGCTTTTTACAATCAAGATAAACCTTAGAGAACTGGAGATGGATTGGCGATGTTTATTAAGGCTGTTAATATTGTACAAAGTGTCTAGAACTCCCTCTGCCCCCTCCCTGATTTCTCACAAGCCAGACACATTGACTCTTTAGCGTCTATCACTATTATATTATGCAATACTACTAGTATTGTCCTGTGCAAATACCCCAGTGAAAGGCTCAACATGTATTACATGTTAAAGGCTCCCTGCAAACGGAATATATAACAGCATTGAAGACGGTACATTCAAAGGTTTCTCTTTATTTATGAAATACTTTTGACAGAAACAGGATCCATGTGGCAGATCATGCAACACCTTCCCTTTGAAACTGTCCGAGCATGTAAGTGACAGACCGGCTGCAGCCACTGACTCCGTGAAATTAGTTCTTTCACCCTGGGATACGTTGGATCTCCTCGACTGTGACTCCTCAGAGCCGTCGCACAAGGATTTTGGTCCGGAGGTCATCGGCCCTTCTCTCTCATTCGGGGTGAAGGAATGTACGCGCACCTCTGTATTTGTATCCCGAGAGGACAATGTCCCTTCTCTGACACATTTAGGATATCACCTCGTATATAGACGTGAACTCGTGTAAGAATATTAGAACAACCAAAGCTAAATAAATGGCTCAGAATGCGTTAAAATAAGCTGTGACAGGCGACTGTGCCGGGTCGGCTTTGAAGCACAGGATCGCCGGCTCGATGCCCAGCTCCTCTAGCCCGTGTCGGTGTGTCCTGGGGCGGGACGAATAACCCCAACTTGCTCCCGTAGGCTGTGCCTGCGCTCTATGAAGGGGTATGAATGTGCCTGGTGGGCAGTGGGCGCCTTGCATGTCAGCCCCTGCAGTCAGTGTGTGAGTGTGAATGGTTGAATAATGACGTATTACATATTGTGTTAAAAGGCTCTTTAAACAATAGTAATATTAGCACATAGATCTTTGTCAGACAAAATAGATATTTTAACTTAATGGACATTGTTTTATTCCAAATGTATAAAAAAAAACAAATCTTTATTGTTTACGTCGTGTCCAAGGTTTGGGAACCCAGGCAGGATATCCTTATTACTACCCGAAGAAAAAGCCAGGATGAGACCTCGGCGTAAGGACACGCTGGAGAGACTAGAGGTGTGTTGTGTTCCCCTTAAAATGTTTTTCCCTTTCATCTGCCCCCCCCTTTCCTTTGACCTAGAAACCCATGTTGGTGCTTCAGTCTTTACCAGCTGTCGCATTGTAGATGACACAAATAGCTTAATGGTCTCTGACTAGGAAGCATTGTCTAGGAAGCACAGAGAAGAACATCCTGCAGGGAGATTGTTCCTGATGGCACCTCAGACAAAACTAGTGTTCCTAAAAGGTGCATCTCCAAAACGGATCACCCGAATGTTCTTTCTCAGAGGATGAACTAAAGCATTAAAGCTATTGCGTGGCCCACATGCGCTGCATATCTTTCTATCATATCTAATTGCCAATTGGAGTGAATATTTAAGTCAGGACCACTTCAGTAATGGGTACAGGCTTTTGATAACATCAGCCAATACTAATTACCCTCTGTCTCCTTGCCTTCTTACGTGGACTATAGGCGGCAAGTGGTGTAGAGGGAGGGAAGGAAGTGAGAAGTGGGAAGGACAAATTCAATCAACACTTCATCTGCCAGCAAGCGTGGGAGCAACAGAGACCCCCCCATCCCCCACTCAAATGCACCCCAAACACACTCCGCCCCCCCGCAGAGAGCTGCTGGGTAAAGAGGGGTTTGTAGTGGCAGAATGAATGGATAGAGAGATGTTAGCACCTTCCTGCAGAGGGCACTATCGACTAAGGGAACAGCTCGTTATACCCGAGTGACAGTGATTAAATAGTTCCATTTGTGTTTTAACGTACTAATCTGTTTATATTATTAATGTATATTTTTATGTATATATCTTATTTTATTCTTATATTGCACCAATGCACCAAGTTAAGTTATGCCCTATGTGTAACATATGTGGCAATAAATGGGTTCTGATTTTGTATATATTATTGAATCATGTTTTCGACAGTGTAGCTGATTTGCAGACTCAGCGAATGACACAGAAATGCATTCAAGCACAAGTTTAACAAGTTAGAAGAAAGTCAATAAATACACCGATTCTTCTCAGATCTGAAAAACTGTCAAAGAGATTATTCATTTGGGCCCTTTCAAGTCAGTGCCGTCCCTGCAGCTACGAATTTCACACCTCTGAGTGTTCGTTCGAGAAGGATGCTTTTGAAGTCGAGATGATTCCGATTCTCATTTAACAGCATTCTCTTTGGATTCAAATGTGACTCCTTGGAAAGCCAAATGAAACCTATGGGAGAAAACGTTCTCACTGATGCCGTGTCAGCCCTATTATGTTTTCCAGTCGACGCTAACAAGGACAAGCGTGTTCAGGGAACAGGGACCGCACTAGTATCAACCAGCGCGTGGAGTGACGTGAATGATAATCGGCTTAGATTGGATCGTCGTTCCGTTGAGTGAGCAACCTCCTGAGCAAGGTGCCAAACATTCATTTGTTTGTTTGATGACAGCAAAGACAACAAAAATAGTGACTTACTTACCTGCTTTGGACAAAGGTAACCAGAGAGTAATCATCAGGCTGAGTCACTATTTTCTAAACGGGGGAGCGTTGATGGAGGAAGCTCTGGTACTGAATGCTCTCTCAGTAATCCCCGTCTTATTTGCATTTCAATTCTTGCTTCCCTTAGCATGGAAACTAATCCGGCACAGTCTGCGTGTAGCCCGAATTTGCATCAACATTTCTTAAGTTGTCTCAACATAGAGATGCTAATGTCTGACTACTATAAATCCTTAACTTAGCTTATTGTGTGAGACAGACAAATCCCAACGTCACATATTGTATTCAAACAATCCCCCATGTAACACAAAAAAATCTACTTCACAGACTTAATCGACTTGCAGAGAAATTCATTTTTCCTGAGAGTGACAACAAATTAACCCCATCACAGTTCTGCAGGATGATGGTCAATAAGCCCTTCTGAATGCCTCCGTATCGCTTTCCGATCAGAGCCTTTCTGTGGCATTCAATGATGGGTCTGGATGCCTTTTAACATTCCAAACACACACACACACACTCTGCTGAGCCAACGGCTGCAGCGACGCGACTGATTGACTGTTTATTGATAGACCTTTATTAACAACCACGTTAAAGATTTGCTGCCTGGTTCCTCATTTGTTAAGGGATAACACCGTTCACCGTTTGGCTTCATTTGGATTGTTAGTGTTGCATTTTTACTTAAAGATGAATACAGTCAAAGTCATGTATTATCATTTAAACGCATAGTCGCCCCCAAAGGAATTTGGGATGTCACCATAGAACCAGGGGCACTGACATTTTTATAAAAGCATTTGACATGGCATTGGAATGCTAAAGATTTTCAAATGTCCAAATGATTTCCAGATGTCCAAACGCGTTTTCCTTGATGGATTTAGTCAGCTCGGCTATCCTTTCGGCCCATGAAAGGTTGTGCACAAGCCTGCTGCTGCTGCTGGAAGCGAGGTTGAAGAGAGCAGTAACAGTAGGAGACTAAAACCAAAACAATCCGCTGAAAAGCACTGAAACACTCCATATATTGTAAGGAGACTCTAGGGGGAATTTATAAGTGATTGTCAGCTTGTTCCCAGAAGTTCCCTTACATGTGAAAGTGATATTTTTTTCCATCCAGAACTGGAAGCAATTATTGATATAATATACAGATTAGTGCAGCTTTAAAGTAGAATCTGTGAGACAAGCAGTGAAGTCACTAAAGTGGGAATAAATGTTTGTGTTTAACACTTCAATTATTGCTAAATTATGCATGACGTAATGCAAAAAAAAAAAGGATAATGAGGCTTCAACCAAAACCAAAAATCAGCCCCTTCAGTCGTGTCTTTGAAGCGGTTACCTGTAAAACAAAAGGCACTCCCAAAGGAAAACACGCGCCAGTGCTTCAGATGAGTAGATGAAGATTTTCTTTCTCCTATATAAACACTTAGAACTGCATTGATACTTCCATCTTACGGAGATGAGGATGCGGGATGCTTACTCTGCAGGATGCCTGACGGTGAGAAGAATCTGGAGGAGCAATTTGTCAAGGATCAATGACATGTGGTGCTACAGTATGCTGTTAAACAGGTTATTAAATCTATTGTGAGCCCTGACAAGGACCCGTTACAGAGCTTGGTTGAATAATGTGAAGGTAAAACTAAAAGTATAAAAAACGTTTGCACATTTGCATTTACATTTTAGAGAAAACTCTGCACACTTTCTCCCCATCAGATATAAACCATGATACTGTATGTTCGATTTTAAGTTGTATTTCTTGAGCTTGATTTGAGCATTTCAGCTGTTGCTGAATGTTTCATGCAATTTTGAGATGTCAGAGATCTACAAATGGGCCTTATTCCGGGACTCAGATTGTTGAATGGTTCTCATTTCAAATTAAATGTCAAGTAGATTTTATTTGCACAGCCCAATGCCCCACATTATGTGGCTTTAGCGTAGCCATTTCTTGGTTTATTCCCAATAAATCTCCATTTATGTCTGTGTCTTCTGTTTAGATACCAAAGGCGTTTTGTCTCTAAAAGCTCAAATAAGAAATTGTACATTTGGCTTCCTGGTTAATATCAGCGCAACCCTAAATTTGATGCTGGCAGTTGAACAGAGACATCAGGGCATGAGGTTTTTCGCTTGACAAATATGTAGTCTATAGTCTATTCATGCTGTGTTTGAATGTCATTTTCCGTGCTATCATAAATAGAAAAGGAAACACCACAAAGAGGTGATGCAGGAATCGCTACAGGATCAGGAACTGGAACAAACATCTAACGGTGAAATCCTACATGCCTCTTAAAGTACAACCACCTTCTATATCCTCTGTTCTCAGCTCCACATTGTTTATCTCAGACTTTCAGTAGTGTCGACTGTATGATTGCTAAATGCCCCATTAGCATAACCAAATGAGTCTTATAAAATCAAAAAGTGCATTATCCTCTAATTGTGTTCCACAGAGTGATGCTCAGCCTACCCCTGAGCTTAAATTAAATGTGTCCACATCGCTTGCTTTTATGTGCACGGAAATCATCTTCTACTTAATGGGAGTGCACTTTTTATTCTGTAATTACACCCTAATAAACCCGGCATACCAATTTAAAATGATGGGATAACTATGGCGTGACAATTAATGATATTATCTCTGACACTCAGAGATCAGATAAACACCGCGACAGAGATG